GCGGACGGGCGGTGCCGGGGTGCTGCCCGGGATGCTCAGGTCCCCCGGACTGCCAGCAAGGACAGGGACACTCGCTCCCGGGGCCTGTCCCCAAGCGAGATACGCCACCGCCATCTATCGGCCAGCGCCCGGGGACAGGGGGTGACGGACACCCTTCTGTGGCCGTCATCCCGCGCCGCGCAGGTTCTGCAGCCGGGCTCGGCTCGCTTTGCGGGTGCCCGAGTGGCCCTGCAGGGCTTGGAGAGCTGCGGAGCATCGGGGCAGCACCCCATAGGGTGGGGTGTCCCCGCTAGGAGGGGCGGCGGGACAGGGCGGACGTCGGGAAGGCTGGGCAGGTTCGGTGGGCTCTGGGCAGGTTCGGTGGGCTCTGGCAGGTTCGGTGGGCTCTGGGCAGGCGGTGTCTCCCTGGGCACAGCCCTGCGGGAGCGCTGTGCGCCGGGCAGCACCGCCGGGGCTCTGCGCGCAGCAGGGGCGCGCACCCACCCGTGCCCTGCCGCCAGGGGAGGGCTGGGGACAAGGCCAGTGTCCCTTCCCAGCCTCCAGCCACCGTGCAGGTCCCTCGCTAGTGAGCAGTGCTTTGCTGTGCTCTTTAGGTGAGCACGAGCACCCCGTCTCTGTGAGAGACCCAGCAGATTTTCAGCTCTGGGTTGTTTTGGGGTTTTTTTGCCCCAAAATGATGCAATTCACCTAATTCCAGGAGCCCCCTAAGATTCCTGATGCCCTGACACTGCCTGCAGCTTCCAGCTAAGGGGATCCCTCCCTGCAAGTTCTTGCCCAAGGACACGGGATGGCTGTTGCTGCCCAGCGCCTGGTGCCTGTCGCAGCTGCATCCTCACCAGAGGGAGCTGTGTCCCACATTGAGGCACAGCCCAATTTTGGCCCAGTTCCCCACCTTTTTTTATAGCCCTTGGCAATGCTCCAGGTGACATACCGGTCAGGTCTAACGCGCATCCAAAGGTGCTTGGATTTCCATTTCTCCTGGCACCCACCTAGCCGTGCCAGGCACGCTCAGTGCCTGCCAGGAGTCTCCTACGTCAGTCCCAAAGCTGTACTGCGCTGGGGGGCATTGCAGGCTTCCTCTGGGGCTGACATGTTGGGCTGGGAGGATTAGGGCTGAAGCCTCCACCAATCCCCTGGAACAGCCATTGCTTCAGCTGCTTTTGAGGATGATCCCAGACCAAGCTCTAGTGTCACAGCGTGGCTGAGCTGACTTCACCCATGCGAGCACGCTTGCAGGAGTGACTCCTGCTGCCACCCCTGGGCCACTCCCATCCAGCCCAGGAGCTGTTCCTTCCCCACTTCTGTCACCTCCCCAGTGCAACAGGAGAGGCCATCTGCCCACACCCCAGTTCCAGCCAGGATGCCACTTTGCCGTCCCTTGTTGGGAGAATTTGACACAGAAGCCTGCACTAAGTATGGGTGTTCACCCCGTGTCTCCCCATCAGAGCAAACATGCCCAGAGCTGTCCCAGCCCAGCCTTGGGGATTGCTTCTTCTAGTTCTCTATTCACAAGAAATCAGCCTCAGTTTTACCTTTCAGGGTATATTCCCTGCCTAGAAAGGGAAATAGCCTTTCAGGCTATTCCCTGCACTGCCATGCTTGGACAGAGCAGGCAGGCTGGGGTCAGCCCAGCCCGGAGATGCCTCTGCCAGGCAGCGATGTGGGTCAGGAGGGGCTTTCCCAGGCCCACCAGAGGCAATGTCTGCTCTGTGTCCAGGAGCCCCAGTGCTTGTGTTTAGCACTGCTGGAAGGCCAGGAGGTCATGAGAACTTGTATAACTTTATTGGGGTCTGACAGAGCCCTGAGGAATCCCAGAGCCAGGCTGGGTTGGGGCTGGAGGGAGGCTGGGAGCCCATCTCTGTGTTCCCCATGGGCTCCAGCCACCTCCTCCCACCCAGTAGGGCTGCCAGGCACCCGCTGCAGAGGGGCTGTGGGGCAGGAAACCTCAGGGCAGCCCAGGGTGCTGGCAGAGCACAGGGATGTGGTTTCCAGGGCAGTGCTCTCACCCCCCTTGCCTGCCCCCAAGCTGGGCTGACAAACCCTCTGAGCACTGGACCCCTGTGCCCTGTGTGGGGTCATGAAGGCAGGAGCAGCTCAGGAGCCCACTGGCCCCAGCTGAAGGTACAGGACAGACACTGGAGAGATCTTCCCCACTTCCTTCTGAGTAAGATGAGCCCTCAGCCCCCAGCTTCCCTCACACCAGCTCTGCCCTTAACCTGCAGGAGTGCAGCCATCTCCAGTTACCCCAGGAAGGCAGCTGGGGGCTCCTGAGCTGCTCCTGGCACAGCAAGCTCAGGCTGCCTGAAATAGTTTGGGCTTGTGCCACAGCACAGCTGCGCAGCCCCGGACCTGTCACCTGGAGCAGGGCCAGGCCACTGGTGCTCCCCAGCTCTGCCTGGTCAGGGGCTGCGGGGCTCTCCCGACCCAGAACACACCAGGACAGGATTCAAGGGGCAGCTGGACACAGGAAAGCAAGGCAGCAAATCCCTGCCGGTGCTGGATGTGGCTGGGGATCCTGCAGGGAGGTGAAACCAAAAGGGATTGTCTCCAAAACTCTGCTGGGCTCAGCATTGCTTCCTTGCTGGAAAGCCAAAAATAGTCTCTTTACTCAGAAGAGGCTGTAGGAGGAGAGATCTCACTCGAGGCACAGCCAAATACCTAGGAGGCCATGGGACAGACCCAGAGCAGCGTGGCTACTCTGAGAGGCATTATCGGACCTTGGAAAGGCAGCGGCCAGAGCTGAACCAGCCAATAACTCCATTGCCTCCAGGCACCTCGTCATGCCAAAGGTGCCAGAGGAACCAGTCTGTCTGGCAAGGGAACACCCCCACCCTGGCAGAGCTGGGGAGCAGCAGCAAACTGCCACGGCCAGCCCTTAGCTTGTGTCAGGCATTCAGCTCAGAGATGGCAGCAGGAGGACATTTTTCCTGTCCATTGTGGCCTGGCCCGAGGGATATCTGGGAATCCCCACGGCAGCTCTACTGTCCCTGCAGTGCCAAACCCAGAAGAGGCAGTGTCATTCCCTGCAGGGCTGCTGCTGCCTGCACTGTGGAACACCCAGCTGCTGCTGGGTAGGCTGGCACAGCGCCGGGAGAGCAGAAAGGCTGTGCCCTTGCCAGGGGAGTGCTTTAGGCCAATTGCTCACATAACAGCATTTCTGGGCTGAGCTGACTTACCATCTCCCTATTCCTGGGGGTCTCACTCCCTCCCCCAGCACTTCTGTGGGTTGTTGTTCCTGGAAAACATCCTAGAGACACTTTCAATCATGCCTTCATCCGCTGACATTTATAGAGCTTCTTCCAGCAGCTGATGGACTTAATAGTGTGAATCTTCCCCCAGCCCCAGTCTGTTCATGCCTTTCCCTCCACGGGTTTGTCATTGCCCCAGTGCGTGGTGAGGGCTGAAGGCAAAGCTGCAGCTCTGCTGCCAACAGCTTTGAGCTCCTGGGCAGAGACCCATCCTGGCAAAGTTCAGTTGTACCCATCTTCTGCAAACTCCTGCCTAATGTCCTGCCCTCCAACCCAATCCTGCTCTGGTCTCTCCCAGCCATCTCTGCTTCTCCCTCTTGGGTGGAGGAGCTGCAGGGCTGCCAAACCTCGCAATACTCAGACTATTTCTTAAAGTCCCAGCTCCTGAAATAGTGGGAAAACTTCAATTTCCTGACCTCCTGCAGCTTTTGTGTCTTTAAGGAGTTTCTCATCCTTCTGCCTGTGCAGAAAAAAACAGGGACCAGGAGCTTGCAGCCCATGGCAGGGAGCAGAGGATGGGCACAGCACACAACCAGGAGGATCCAGGCTGCAGAGCAGTGGCTGTGGCTGCTCTGTGCCAGGGACACTCAGACCTGCCAGGCAGCCATCAAAAATCCCACAGGTGGTCATCCAGCTTCCCTCAGCACCTTGAGGAACCCGGGCAAGAGAGATGTGTAAGGGAGAGGTGGATGCAGGGCTGGGCTGGGGCTTGGGCACGGTGTCAAGCACACAGCCCTGCAGTGCAGGGGTCCCTGCCCCCCAGCCACGCTGGAGCCCAAAGCCACTGAGGGCAGCACATCCTCCTTGCTGACCCAGCAGCTTTTCCAGCCACAGGAAAACCCCCCTGTCCTCACCACAGCCCACTGCAGCAGTCTTCTGGGCAGCTCAAGCCAGCAGATCCTCTGGAGCAGCTCTGATCCGACCCAGATACCCACCGGCAGTACATACCACAGCTGTGAATGCATCTCCTCCAGGGAATTATTTTGGGCATGCCTCCGTGGGACACATGCCACACCTGAAAGCACTGTGAGAGTTCAGGCATCACCCATGAGCACTTTGTTCAAGAAACACAGAGATCTGCTCTGGGCAGGTCAGCACAATGAGGCAACACTTTAGTGTTCAGCTCACTGCTCCATAGTTGGGTGGGACTCTAAAATGAACTGGTCTCAAGACAACTAACAAGTTAAAAAAAAAGTTATTCTACTAATTACCACTAGATTGGAAAAGATATTTAGCACTTTGAGCAACTTTGAGATGCTCATCAAGCATCAAACTAGTCTAATTACTCAAACTTATGGGGTAAAAGCTCTGCAGAGCCCCCAATCTCCTATATGAGGTGTACAAAAACCTACCAGACTCACTCAGCACGAAATTCCTGTGCTGTTCCTGACACACAACCCCTCCTGCCAACATCTCCATTTGGAGCAATTTGGAAGCATCCCGAGGACCCCCAGTCAGACTGAGGGTGTGGGACTACTTTGCCAAGGAACATAAACTTCAGCTTCTCCTCCAGGCTCACAACTCACACCAGCAGCAGGCGATGGACCATGAGCCAGAGGGGATGGGGGCACCCTCATCCCTGCATGCTGCCAGGGTGACTGGGCCAGACAGGCCCCCTTCTCCCACCACCCCCCCAGACTGCCCTTCCCTCCCCTGCTCTGGCATCCATCAAAAGAGCTCAGCACCAGGCACAGTCAGAAAGGCACAGTGCTGGCAGCTGGGCCATGCTGGAGTAAGAATGGGACATGAGGATAGAGCAGAACTGTTTTTATTGGAGGTGTCAAGAGCAGGAACAAGAACAAACCTACAGGCTCCCTCCTCAAGTGCCATCCTCCCCTCGCCCACCACCACCACCACCGGGGCAGTCAGCATCACGTGTGCGTGCTACAAGACAACGGCCAAGACTTGCACTTTGCTTCAGCCAAAAGCCAGACAAAGCCCCCAGCATCCCACTGTCACCCCCTCCTCGGTGACTGCGAGCTCAGCTTGGCCCTGCCGGGGCAGGGCAGGACATTCACCTTCCCCTCTGAGCAGGGCTGAGTTTTGCGTGAGATGTTGTGGTTAAGGGAAGTAGGGAGCACAGCTCCACCAAAGTGCCAGGGCATGTGACCTGGGCTGCAGCTCCCAGCGGGATCTCGGAGCAGCCCAGCAGAGAGCGAGCTGTGCAGCCTGAGCAGAGCTGCAACAGCCACAGGCAAAAAACGGCATCGCTGAGCCCCAAAGGGCTTCGCTGCCCCCTCTCTTCAACACAAACCAAACCAAATGGGAGAGGGGTCAGAAGACACACCAGGAGGGGATGTGAGACGGGTCTGGAACGGCGTTTGGCTCTGCATCACTTGCCAGCCCGACGCTCCTCCTGGCGCTTGGTAAGGATGTATTTGAAGAACTCGTACACGGACCAGGCAATCGCCGTCGAGGGCATCTGAAAGATGACTCTGGCCTGGACCCCTCTGAAGTAGGCGGTCACACCGCCCACCTGGTACACCGTCCTGAAGGCATTAGCCATGCCTGTGATGTGTCCGCTGATGTTGGAGCTCAAGGCCAGGGACTCCTGGGTGTTGAGCAGCGTTTTGCAAACGTCCAAAGGCGTAGTGGCGGCAGCAGCGACGGCCCCCGCGCAGGCTCCGGAGACCACGTGGGAGCCCGGGTTGTACTGTCTGTGGGGGTTGAGCTGCTCCTGCAAGAACTCGTAGGTCATGAAGTGAATGGCTTGGAAGGGGATGTTCATGGTGAGCTGGGTGGTGTAGCTGCGGTAGAAAGCTCCGGCCCCTTCGTTGCGCCACACAGCCCGTACACAGTCCATCACGTGCTGGTAAGGCGAGTTGTACATCTGCATCCTCTGCTTCACCACTTGGGACAGGCGGCGGCAGCAGCCAGGACCCAGGCGCGGAGGGGAAGAGGAGAGAGAAGGGTAAACACAAAGCCAGGCTTCCTCCAACTGCTTGGAGTTTGGTGACACTGCGTTTGCCGAACCACCGGTGCCCACGTGTCTCCAGACAGGACACCAGCTATTTAAATCTGCTGAGGCATCACTGCTGAGGCATCACATCACCACTGTGAAGCCACTCACATGCCACAGCCCCAGGGAATATCCTGAGAGGCCACTGCTTACAGTCCAGATCCACCCTTGCTCCCAAGCAACCGATGTTTCCCCATCCACTGCTGCAGAGCTATCACTCAGTCAGAAGAACCCCCTGGCATCCAGTCTCTTATTTCCCAGACAGCTCTCGCTCTGGATAAGACTGTCCCTCCCCTGCCACCCCCACTGCAGCCCAGAATAACCACAGCTCATTGCAGAGCCCACTGGCCAGGAACTGTTAGCAGCCACTGCCAAAATGCAGCCACTCTGGGCAAGGTTCAGACGCCAAACCCCACTAACACATCCAAGACTGGGACAGGGGAGTCCAGAGCACAGCCTGCCGCTGTTCTACCTCCCCCTATCTCAATGTGACCATAAGGAGCTAAAAATGATGCGATGCTGAACTACTATAGTCATGACAAGAGAAGCTCCATGACAGTGGTCTGGCAGCTGCCTGCTCCTTGGGGTCCCTGTCATGCAGTGGGGAGGCAGGACCTGTGCCCAGATCAGCTGGAGCCTGCACTATCACAAGCCCTGCAGTTTTAAGAGGGAAAAATACCTTTATGACTGGCCTTTCCTAATTGCTTCTCCTTCTCCCCCACTTCCATGGACTTAGTAAAATTACTAACTCCCTATACTTTTTTCATATACATCAGGATCATCAAAATCAGCACCTTCCAGACATTTCACAAGATCTCCCTTCTCCCAACTTCTCTAGCATGTTTTTATACCCCACACTTAATTTTTCTCTTGAACACAGGCCCATGACTGTACCACCTCTTCCCTAGACCTCAGTACAGCAGTGCCCAGCTTCCAGACACTTAGAATGACTTTGGCAGTGCCAATCACATCTCTCTTGCCTCCTCTCCTGCTCCAGGTAACAGTCCCTAGCCAAACTCCTGGATGAAAGGCCCATGCCCTCCCAGCTCCTCCTAAACTGTGGTTTGCTGTGCTGTCCGTAACAGGCTGCCACCAGGGTCCCTAACTGGAGCCATGAGCCCCCAAAGAACCCCTGAAATCAGGCAAGAACAAGAGCCCTCTTTGTGCCACAGAGGGGACCCAAGAGGCTTGGGCAGACCCTGATTCTCCGCTCCCCGGCAGGCCAGGACCATCATTACCTTCAGCAGGGTTCATGGCTGCATCGTGGAGCAACGTTGCTACACACCCGGCTGCACCTGCAAAACAAGAACTGCCACACATGAGGGGGGGAAAGGTGAGGGACCCTGGGACTCCACCACAGCCCCAAGTCCCTGGCCAAGGCACAGGAGGAGGCCCCTGAAAACGGTGAGATCTGAAGGCGACCTCCATCTCCCTTCCAAAAGGCAGGCTGGTCCTCAGGAGCGAGATACAGGAGGAGAGGGAGAAGATTGTGACAGGCTGCCATGTCCCATGGGGTGGCCGGGACACATCTGTGCCCACTCCTTGGGGGACAGGCCAATGCCACCAGCTGGCAGGGAGGCCGTAGGATAGTGAGCATCCCCATGTCCCACGGAGAAGCCGCTAGCACTCTGCTGCATGCCTGCCAAGGGCGGAACGTGCCCTGCTCTCCCCTCAGCCCCAAGCTCCCCCCACTGTGGCGAGTCCTTGAGACGAGTAATGGGCACCATGGCGAGACAGGCTCCGAAACCACGTGGCACTCCTGGGGCGAGCTCTGGCACTGCCATTCCCCGGGGCCACGGCCAGTCCCAGCCTGTCTGCAGGCAGCTCCTGTCCACCAGCATCCTTCCGAGCCAGGGCCACTAACCTGCTTCAGGCCAATACCTGGCAGCGGCTCTGGCAGGCGCGGAGCGGCGCTTCCCCGAGCCCGGCACCGTGCAGCGGCTGCTCACGGCTGGAGAGAGCACAGGGCTTTAGGACATCCACGGCACCCCGACCCCGCGGCGGGACCTCCCTACCGCCAACCTGCCGCTCCCACCCCGCTCCCACCCGGGCGTGGCGGGGCCGGTACCGTTGGCCACATGGCTATTGCCCCCTGCGTGGATAACGTCGCTCAGCGTCTTTTTTAACTTTTCGTAGCAGGCGAAGTAGAGGGCGTGCGCGGGGCCGGCGCCGGTGGCCGTGATGTTCAGGCCCCGCATGGGCCGCCAGACGCCCTCGGTGCGGGCGATGCGCCACAGGGCCTCCAGCACGTTCCGGTAGCGAGCGGCGGGCTCCGGCTGCAGGCTCTGCATCCGCGTCTGCAAAACAGGGCGGGCCCGGCCGTGCGGCTCGTCAGACCGTGCCCGGGGCTCCCGGTGCGGCGCCCCGTGCCCCCCTCCCCGCGCCCGCGCGCCGCCGGCACCTTGACGCAGTCGATGGGGTACATCACGCAGTGCTCCATGACGCCGGCCACGGCGCCCGCCAGCATGTGCGTGGACACGGCGGCGCCCTGGGGCAGCGCCTCGTAGTCGGGGGCGGGCGGGGAGCGCGGCTCGGGGCCCCCCGGGCCGGGACCGGGACCCGGCGCCCGCCGCGCCCCGCGCTGCCCCGCCCCTCCCTGGCGCCCATTGGCCGCCTCCGTCCGGTGCCCGCCCCTGAAGGGCGCCCATTGGCTCGGCGGGCCGCGAGCCGCCCACGCACGGCGCGCTAATTGGCCACCGGCGCCGCGGCTCGGGCGCCACCACTGGCCGGCCGCTTCCTCCGGCGCGTTCGGGCGCGCTGCCCGTTGGCCGCCGGGACTGCCCGCCCTGCCGGTCCTCGCAGCCAATTGGGTATCTCAACTTCGCGCCCCGCCCTGCCGCGCAGCGCATTGGTCGGCGCGCCCGCGACCTTTGGCCCGCTCGCCCCGCCTCTCCGGGGGGCCGAAGAATCGCCATTGGACGGCGAGTCCGCCACTCCGGACGTCGGCGCGTGCTGTGTATTTGGGCGCCCGCGATTGGCTGGAAGCCTGCGCGTGCCACCTCCCGGCGAAGGTCGGACGCGGGAGCAAGGGCGAAGCCGGGCACCGCCCCCGGCAGCGCGAGGGGGGGGGAGCCCGCGTCCCGCCCAGTACGATTGGTCGTCGGGCAGCATGGGCGTGGCTCCAGCAGGACGAACGGAGCCGATTGGTCGCCGTGCCGCGGGGGGCGGGGCTCCGCCCGGCGGGGCGCGGCGGCGGCGGCGGGCGGTGACGTGTCCGCCGGTGCCGGCGGCGGTGCCCGCAGCGGCGATGCGCGGGCGGGCGGCAGCGGGCGCACATGGCCAGGTGAGTGGGGCTGCGCCGGGGGGTCGGGGCCGGCGCGGTGCCGGTGCTCACTAGTGGTCTCTACCCTCAGGGTCGGCGTTTTCTGCCTGTCGTGGCGCTCGGTGGGACCGTGCCCGGGGCCGCGGCAGCGCCCGGCTGCGCTGGGGCTCGCTCTCCTCTTAGGGCTGCTGCTGCTGCTGGCGGCCGTCGTGCCCCGCCGCTGGGCCGCGCCGCCCCGCGCCTCCCGGCGGGACGAGAGGTGAGCGGGGACGGGGCTGCCGGGGAGCGGGGTCACGGCCGGCCGCCGGTGCCGAGCCCCGGTGCCGAGCCCGGTGCTGAGCCGCCGTGCCGCAGGTACCTGGCGCGGGCGCAGGAGCTGACGGCCACGGACACCGAGGACTCGTCCCTTAATTACGGCGTGGTGGTGGACTGCGGGAGCAGCGGCTCCCGGGTTTTCGTCTACTTCTGGCCCCCGCACAACGGGAACCCCCACGACCTGCTGGACATCAAGCAGATGAGGGACCGGAGCAGCCGCCCGGTCGTCAAGAAAATCAAACCCGGTGCGTGCTGCCCCGGTCCGGCCCCGAGCCCCCCGCTCGGACGGGGCGGGCTGGCTCACGGCGCCTTCCTCGCCAGGCATCTCCGTGACCGCGGCAGCCCCCGAGCAGGCGACCCCGTACCTGCGGCCGCTGCTGCGGTTCGCGGCAGCGCACGTCCCGCCGCGGAAGCACAAGGAGACGCCGCTGTACATCCTGTGCACGGCCGGCATGCGGCTGCTGCCCGAGCGGTGAGTTCGCCGCCCTTGTCAGGCGGGCCAGGGATGCGCTGGGACCGCTCAGCCCCGGGGAGGAGCGAGACAGCTGCCTGCTCTTGGACCGTGCGGGAGAATCCTGGGGGGAATTGAGAAAGGAAACGGTGCGTTGTAGGGGAGAGTAGCAAGGGATGCAGAAGGAGGGTTTGAGCATGCTGGGAGGGAGCTGAGAAGATGCTTTCGACTGAGGATCTCAAACAACTAGATCTATTTTTCATCTCTAAAACATGCTGGCTGCAGCAGCAGAACTTGTGGGGTTGGATGGGGACTGTAGTGTGGTGTGATTCCTGGTGTCTCCACCGGCATCGGCATCTGATCCTCTCCTGCATCCTTGCAGTCAGCAAGCTGCAATCCTGGAAGACTTGGTGACAAATGTGCCCCTGGAGTTTGATTTCCTCTTCTCCAAATCACACGCAGAAGTGATCTCAGGGAAACAGGAAGGTAGGAGCTGCCACAAAGCACTGCCTGTTCCTCTTTAGTATGTTGTTGTAATGACCTTTTCTGTCTTGTGCAGGTGTCTATTCGTGGATTGGCATCAACTTTGTCCTGGGACGGTTTGATCATGAGGATGGTGAGTCTGGCTGCTTGTAGAACAGCTGGGAGGGTCTAAGCAGAGTATGCTGGACTTTGTACCAGTGCTGTAGCTAAGATCAACCTCTGGAGTAGGGAGCAATGCCTGACTCCTGTCATAAGTGTGAAACTTTCCTGGACCTGGGAGGTGATCCTTGCAGGTGGCCCTTGGGGTCTGCCTGCAGTGGGGGAGGAGCACACGAGGCAGCTGTGGGGTGATGGTGGAAGGGAGAAGATGCTGCCCCAGATCCTGCCTCTTGCTGACATGCTGCTGTGGGTTGCAGAGGAGGATGCAGTGGTCACTGTAGCACTCGGGGACCAGGGGAAGTCCCTGGTTCGGAAACGAACTGTTGGGATCCTTGACATGGGAGGCGCCTCCCTGCAGATTGCCTACGAAGTGCCCGACTCCGGAGCCATCTCCTCCCCACAGCAGGTGCGTGTCTGGTCCCCGAGAGCAGCTCCTGCCTTCCCTGGATTGCTGCTGATCATGGACCTGTCTGTGTCAGCAGGACGAGGCTGCTAAGAGCTTGCTGGCAGAATTCAACCTGGGCTGTGACGTGCAGCACGCTGGCCACATGTACCGTGTCTACGTCAACACTTTCCTGGGCTTCGGGGGCAATTTTGCCCGGCAGCGCTATGAGGGACTCGTGCTGAACCAAACCTATGCTCACAACCGGTATTGCTGCCTCACCTGGTGGTGCCCCCACCAGAGCATTGTGAAATGGGGTGCTGGTTTCTTCGTGCTGTGCTCTCCCCCCTGGATTTGCCTCACGAGCTGCCTGTGGTGATAACAGCTCCCACAGCCACGCTGGCAGCAGCTGGTGCCTGGGCTGGCACAGAGTGCTTGGCTGCTGCTGTTCTCCAAGCCTGGCAGGCTTATCAGTGCCACAGCTCCCTACCTTCCTCCTTCTCTCCTTGTGACAGGCTACAGGGAGGCCCCTCCTACTGGCTTTTGGCTTTTCCTACTCTGACTTCCCCATCTCCAGCACCGATTCACTCAGCACATCTTTCCATTGCATCCCCACCTCGAGCTCTCCTGTCTCCTGTCTCTCCTTTCCTTCCAAGAGCACTACACGAAGCTGTCACCAGAGTTGGAGGCTTGGTGCCCAGGTACTCCTGTGCCGGGAGCAGCCCCTGCCTCCAGATCCCCTGGGGCTGTGCGGAGGCACAGATCCCCATGAGCTGGGGGGGTGGGCTGTGCTTTGTTGCACCCTACAGGTGCTCAGAGCATGTAGCTGGAGGCCAGCGTGACAGATCTGGTGAATCCAGCCTTAGCAGGAGGTGGCAGGGCAGGCACCAGCTCTGCTGGGTACAAGAGGACACAGCCTGGTCTGGTGCAGAGGGTATCTGGATGTGGGACAGGGCTAGATTAGGCTTTTGGAAGGTGGTATAGGACCCCCTGTGCAATTGCCATTTTTTCCTGGACTGTTTTCCAGCCTGCACAACCAGCAGACAGGGCTGAACCCCAAGATGCCCTTCTTGGACCCCTGCCTGCCTGTGGGGCTGGAGGACACGGTGGTGAGGAGTGGCCAAACCCTGTACATCAGGGGACGAGGGGACTGGCAGGCCTGTGCAAAGCTGCTGCAGCCCCTCCTGGCAGGGTCCAATGGCAGCTATGCCTCCCTGGTGGAGACCTACAAAGCACCCATCGACTTCAGCAACAGCGAGTTTTACGGCTTCTCGGAGTTCTTCTACTGCACCGAGGACGTGCTGCGCCTGGGGGGCCAATACAGTGCTCCCACCTTCACCTCTGCTGCCCAGGTGGGTGCTGCCTCAGCCCAGGGGAGCTGGGCTGGGAGTGAGGGCAGTTCTCTGCTCTGAACCCCAAATTCTCCTTCCCCCAGGAGTACTGCAGCCAGCGCTGGGAGGTGCTGACGCAGCGTTTCCGTGGTGGTCTCTACTCGGCGCATGCTGACGAGCACCGGCTGAAGTAAATGGACCTGCTGGGAGGTGCCATGGCTGGACCTCCTGGGGGCCTTTGCTGGGGTAAGGGACTGGTGCAGTTGTTAGTGTCTGGCTGATGCTCCTGCGTGCTGCTCCTGTCTGCAGGTATCAGTGCTTCAAATCAGCCTGGATGTACCAAGTCCTTCACGAGGGCTTCCAGTTCCCGCTGGACTACCCCAGCCTGCGCACAGCCCAGCTGGTGTACGACCGGGAGGTGCAGTGGACCCTGGGAGCCATCCTCTACAAGACGCGATTTCTGCCACTCAGGTACCATCGGCTGCCGGGTGGCGTCACAGAGGGAAGGGTGGCTGGGGAGGAGCAGGAGTAACTGCGCTGGGTGAGGGCTCTGCACGGACCCTGGCGGAACCCAGCGCATCTCGTGGCCAGTCCTGACATTCCTCTCCATAGGGATCTCCGTCAGGAGAGCATCCGGCAAGCACACGGCTCCTGGCTGCGCCTCTCTTTTGTCTACAACCACTATCTCTTCTTTGCCTGCATCCTGGTCGTGGCGCTGGCCATCGTCCTCTACCTCCTGCGGCTGCGCCGCATCCACCGCCGGCAGCTGCGCTCGGCCCAGCACACCCTGCTCTGGCTGGACAAGGTGGTGGTGCCGCTGGGCCAGGGAAGCGTGCCGTGATGCCAGAGGTACCCAGCGTCCAGTTGCACCAGCAGAACTAGGACTGGCTGACAGCCTGGGCTCTGAGAGCTTAGACTCCTTCTTAAAGACCGTCTCAAAGTCTGCACTCCATCGCCTCTGCAGCAGAACCGGAGTCCAGGGGCTGAGGCAGCTATGGACACGAGAGCTTTCCTCTCCACCTTGCCCCAGTCCTAATCTTTGCATTCCTTGGCCTCTGGCCTTTGCCTCACTACATGGTGTAGAGCAAAGTCCTCTGCTACCAGCAGGCTCAAGGCTGCAGCCCTGGCAGATCCCTCAGATAACAGGACACTATCACTGAGGCAGCCAAGCCAGGGCTCTGGCCTGAAGTACTGAGCCACCCCATGACTCAGCCGCCAGTTTGCTGAGCAACCTGGTGAGGTGCTGTGGTTCATCACCTGGGGTGGCCGTCTGCAGGCCCTGGCAAGCCTGGAGCTTGGAGAACAGCAGGCACCAGCTAAATTACTGCAGGAACAAGGTAAACTGTGAGATCCACCAGGCTGCTCTGCCCAACCTGGCCCCTCTTGGAGTATTCCTGAAGGGGTGTCCTGCTCTTTACTATGTCTTCCCTCTGAGGACAATCCTACAGTCTTGCTCAACATCCCAGACTGAGCCCTGAGGGCTCACTGATTGATTTTTTGAGGCACCACCAAAGTGGGCTGTCTTTCCTTTCACACATTCATTCCCTCCTGGGCACAGCTGCCCTGTGCTGTCCCAGGCACTAGCATCAGGAGCTGTGGTTCTTTCCTCCATGAGGGTGGGCTGGGCCTGCCCCTGGGAGAGCCACCTCAGTCCAGCCCAGCTCATGGCCCCAGGACAGGCCAGGGCTGAGCTGTGCACACAGGCACAAACATTCCCCGGGGCTGGAGCCCCACCGATGGTCCAATGAAGTTTGTCACTTTTCTGAACTCTGCTGTTCCCATTCCTGTAGCAATAAACAAACCCCTTGAGCCATCCAGCACTGTCTCAGTTCCTAGTGAGCAGCTCCCAGCAGCGATGGCTCCTGGCTGGTGGCATGGCCGGGTGGCTGCACAGCTCTGCTGCTGCTTCCCGCTGCCGCAGTGGGCTGATGGAGCCCCTTTGCTGCCAGTATTGTTCTCTGATTCCAGCAGGACTGAGCTTAACTGAGCTGGTAGCAGCAAGGGCAGCTCTGATCCAAACCAAACTGTTGGGATCCTTGGAAACAGCATCCTTTGCTACCCTCTTCCTAAGAGGAAAAGCCTGTCAGCTCAGAGCCCCTCCAAGATGTTGGTCTCTGCTTTTTACCTTATTCCCCACCTGAGTCTTAGCTGCCTGGCAAAGAGGCTGCTGAGCTGCTCCAGAACCACGGCAATGGTCCCAGCACAGCTGCAAGAGGCTGAGCAAGCACCCAGTCTTTCCTCTAGCACACACAGTTCCCTCCCTGTGACCCTGGTTCCACAGCATGAGCACACAGGTGGCATCAAGGATAAAACTTTCCATGCATCAGTGTGCTGCTGACCTCCTGCTCAACAGCTGAGGATCCCAGCCTTGTTCTCATGGTGCAGGAACAGTGTTGGGGAAAGGAAAGGTGGCTGAATAAGGCCAAGACTCTTCCTCAGCCTCAAAGCAGCAACTGACTCAGCCTCCAGCATGACTTATTAGAAAAAGGATTTATTTCCACAACACAAGTTAAACGACACAGACAAATAAATAAATACAGATAAATTATCTGATAAATAAGGGGAAACCTGAAACACAATGGTCTGCTTGGCTCTTCTCAGAACCTGGACCCATCTTGTGGTGGAGGTACCTAAACACTACTGCAGCTGCCTCACTGCTCAGGTGGGAGACAGCCCTCATTTCATCCCTGCCAGCAGACCCCAACACCTCCCTCACCACACCCAAGGGGGTCTGCATGCTCCTCCAGGGTCAACCCTTTGTTCTTCCACCCACAGCCAGAATCTGCCTTAGCAGGGACCTCTCCCACCACAAGGGACTGATCACAGAGGATGCAATGGCTCCTGTGTTCTCATGCAGACGAGCAGCCAGCGGATGTAATGACCAGGGACAGGGCAACTAGTTGGGCAGCTTGGGCTACGAGCAGGGGTTTCACGTGGGGGCTAAGGCTGAACACACCAGGAGGGCAGGACAAGCACTGTTGGGACAGGATCTGCTGGCACCACACAAAGCTCCCTCACAGGATGGTGCTCAGTCACTGCAGCACTGGGCCAGCTGAAGGGATCTCTCCCTGGCAGCGTGGCTGCTCCTAGGGCTGCATTAGTAGGCCCTCATCCAGGGATGCTGCCTGCCATGCTTGGGGGCCCATCCATCCACTGGTCCAGGCTGCAGCGCTCCAGGTGTGCTTGGGCAGCGGGTCCAGCCTCTGTCCAGCACCTCTGGGGGCTGTTTGGTACACGAGGGTAGAGGCTGGAACAGCTACAAGAGCTGGGGGAGGAAGAAAGGAAGAGAAGTTAGCAGCAAACACATTCATGAGGGAGCTCCCACAAATTTGAGAACGACAGTTCTTGATTTGCTCAGGCCCAGCGCACAGCCAGCAGCCCACACTGGGACCAGCTCACCACAGCCACAAGGCATGGAAGCCAAAGCATTTCCCCCAGCCCAGCAGGGCTGAGCTGCAGCTCCCTCCCCAGTCAGATACAGGCAGGTGAGCAGGGACATCTGCCACCCCAGCTCTCTGCCCACTCACGGTGATGGATTGATGGGGGTCTCCGTTGAGGCGCCAGCTCCCAGGGACTGCTCACTCCCAGAGGAAGCGCACGTACCAGATGGTCTCGTTCTTCAGCTGCGGCCCGAACAGGGGGTTGGCCTGGGCCAGGATGGCGATGAGCCAGCTGCAAAGGGACAAACCCCCCGTCAGCCCCCCCGGCAGCACCAGAGCACCGGGAGCGGCTGCTGCCCCGGCAGTGATGGGCCCGGGAGGAGGCGGGCCGCAGCCCGGGGACCAGCCTCCATCCATGGAGGAAGCTGGGCAGCAGCCACCGGTCTCGGTGAAGCCAGCGGAGGTGGGGGGAAGGGTCCCCGGCCCGCGGTACTCACAAGAGGTAGCAGCACACGGCGGTGGTCACCAGCATCGTGATGATCACCCTGCGGAGACACCGGCGTTAGCGGGAAAGGCCCATCTCCAGAACCCCCGACCGCGGCACCCCCCGAGCCCCCACTCACCCGCGGTTCGGCCCCTTGGGCACGAACCAGGGGGCGGCGATGCCCACGAGGCCCCAGAAGGCGGAGAAGAGGACGAGCGGCAGCGCGAAGCTGTGCGCCGTCATGGCCGCTCCGCACCGGACTGCGCCCCGCCCACTGCCGCGCCGCGCCGCCAATCCGCGGCCCGAGCGCGCCGCGCTGCCGGCACCGTCGGCTCCCATTGGCGGATCCGCTCGGCCCGGCCCGGATCCGCTCGGCACGGCTCGGCCCGGCCCAGCCCAGCCCGGCCCAGCCCGGCTCGGCCCCCGCACGCCTGCGCGCCTCGCTCCGCAAAGGAGCACCCAGCAGACACAGCCGCTTGACAAAGCTCCTTTATGTTACAAAGCTCGCACTCACACCCGCCGCCGCCTCCCGCGCCAGCCCGGCTGCGCGCACATGGCCCGGCGCGCCCGGGGCTCGGCCGCCCCTGGCCCGGCGGTGCGGCTCGCCGAAGGGCTGTCCCGCCGGTGCGTCACTTGGGAACTCTCCGGAGCTCGCTCATGAGCCACAGTGCCACGCTGAGCAGGGCCAGGGAGCCCGACTGGTGCGTAGCAGCCACAGGCGTAGGGACATAAAGCAGCAGGGTGCTGATGCCCAGGCCCACCTGCCAAGAAGGGAGAAGAGGTAAGAGCAGCTGTGGATGCACCACGGATACCATTCCCAGCACAAAGTGTGGTGTTAGAAAGGCTCATGGCCACGCAAGAGCACCCCAAATTCAAAGTGTGCATGCAGTATGGTGAGGTGTGGGGTCTAGGCAGTCCCACCTGTCAGCTCCCGACTTTTGGAGCCAGCATAGATCCAAGCGGGGTCAGGTCTGCCTTGTGAATGTGCTGCAAAGGAGTAGGAAAAAAATAAGGGCAGTACCTGCATGCAAGCTACGGCCAGTAAGGAAGTCACAGCCATCCTGGTCCTTCGAGGGAGTGGGATCTTCCTCGAGAAGAGGTACAGTGCTGTGACAGCTGTGATGGAGGCAATTCCCTACGGAAGAGAAGGGAAACAACCACCCTTCAATGAAAGTTCAAGGGAAATGGGTGCAGTGGCCTTTGGCTGTGCATTCCATGCAGTAAAAGAAATTGTGTGAGCAGTTTTTAACTAAAGAAATGTATTAATGGCCATGACCAATCCTAGAGCTCCCACACCATCAGGTTAACAACCCCGAAATTTAAGTGAAGTTACAGAGACTTTTAATTTCCTCCAAATGAATGCTTTACTTTCCAACAGCTTCTCCTCATTAATTCAAGTCACTAGAGATGGTGTCTGCCCTCTCCCCAGCTGCCACCTTGACAACTGAAGGTGGAAGCTGTCATCTGGAAAACTGATCTCATTTCCACCACTCAGCTGTAGTTCACCAACTTAATCTTGCTGTGCAGGTCACCCAAGGTGATCCAGCTTAATCTTTCTTTTTTTAGTCTCAGCCACGGCTTAGTTCACAGCAGTGCTGCCAGTGGTATTTAATATCCGGATTGCTCTAACTAGCTGAGATATATTCACAGGGTACTACTGTGCAAAACAAGTTCAGAAATGCTGCAGGAAGCATTCAATATCAGGATTTCCAAGTTTTATTTCACACAGCTTTCCCAGACATTTCAATAGCAAGGGCTATCCCACACTGTAGCTCGTGTTATGGAAAAGGAGAATCAGAGAAACAAAGTGTGTTACTTGCGCAGGAGGAAGACCTCCTTAAGGAAGAAGGCCACACTGAAAATAAAAAACAATGCTAAGCTTCCTCTTCCTGCAGAAGCAAACTGGTAAGACGCTCTCAGGCCCTTTGGACACCCTAGAAATCACTCAAGCTGACAGAACCACAGCCCAAAGAAGACAGCTTGGCTGCAGGAGGCAACCAAGAAGCAGCCCAGACATATCAGGAAGACAGCACTTACCAAGATCCTGTGATCAAACTGTACAGTTGTAGGATTCTCAAAGATATTTCTCAGCACGGGGGAGAAGGCAAGGAGATCATCTGGGATCCAGCGCTCCCCCATTTTGGGGAAGGAATTGTACACAAGGCCAGCATCCAGCCCTGCCACAAAGGCACCTGCAATTCCAGAGCAGAAAATGAGACTAGCACAGTAGGCAAAGGTGTCACTCCAGGTTGCACAGCTCTCATTCAAGAGCTCAGCTTGATCCTGAATTTCTTTTAGCAACATATACAGAGATCACACAGCACAGAAAGGCTGGAAGGTGCCTCCCCACCTGCCCAGGAAAGACCAGTCAGGAGGTTCTTGACTGTAAGATCCCTGACAGCAGCAATTTTCTCAGAGAACAGATGGGGCTGCTCACAGAACAGAAAAAAAAAAGCAAACCAGCAGAGAGGAATAAGTCACAAACTGGACAGCAGGAAGAGCTTTACCTGAAAGAGCAGTAAGAAAAATGAGAGCTGTAGTGCCATGAGCATATTGTCTCAAGCGAAGCAGCTGTTTGGTTTCTGGCAGCTGTAAAATAAAATAAATTAAAAATAAAAAGAAAAAGAAATAATCAAGGCATTTCCAGTGCTGTTGGCAGCAGCTAAGAAAAGCCTTCACAACATACACAGGCCAAGGGGTTGGCCTGTATTTTAGAGGGGGATTTTACAGACCACCACACAGCAACCATGCTTCAGTGGTCTCTCAAAACCACAGCTAATCAAGTCCAGCCCTGTGCAGAAACTGAAGTGGCCCTTGGACAGTTACTGGCACAAATAATTTACCCAGCCAGGCACACCCCTGGCTGAGCTTCCACAAATTCTGAGACTCATCACTTTTGACCCAAACAGTACGAGCCACAGCAAGTGTCCCATAACCAAGAAGTTTACCGAAT